CTACACACACACACTCAATTATAAAATGAAAATTCAAAGATAACTATTTTTCAGAATATTGATATATTTAGTAAAATGGGGCATCATTTATTTAATTAATATATGATTGAAATAATTGAGCTTAAGATTCAAAATCAAATTATAATCAAATAAAGCACTAAACACTAAACATAAGAATCATCAAAATGTCTTGCAAAATGGCACTGAAAACCTGCTGCTTGTGGATGCTGGCAGTGGGAATCATTCTGGAAATAGTGGGTTGTTATTATCAGCTTTTCGATCCATGGGTTCGTGATTTAGAAAAGGAGAGAGACGACCTCAGAAGAGAGGTTGACCAAGCTACTGATGCTTGCCAGCCAATGTTCTATTGGTTCTCTCTCTCAACTGTAGTTGATGTGTGGCGATATGTGAGCAACACCCCAGTACAAGAGACAAGTGCCGACAGTGACCTTCAGTTTGATCCAAGGTGGCTGCCCATCATTGGTCGCGTCATCACCGCTTACGAATGTTACGTGGAAATCCAAAATCTCAAAACAACACTTCTTGAGGTGACATCACGCTGTGATGAGTGTTTCTCTACTCCCTTCACAATGACTGTGTTGTGTGTCCTCATGTCAATTACAATGAGTGCCATGGGACTGATCGCACCAGTCAAACTCTGGAGGAGACCAACCGGCGATACACTGAAGATGGCTATGGTAAGAAAGCCAAAAACAAGGAAACATAACAGACGTCGCAGACAAAATGCATCGAAGAAAACTGACCAGGACCAGACAGGGTTAAATGGCAAGCAAAAGAAGAGCAAAAAGAAGAAAATTAACGAGATAGAAACAATTAACGATGCTGAACTGGCCTACAGGTTAACTGCCCTCCGAGGTGCCAGTAACCAAAAAGGTATATACAAAATAACTGACCCTAAGAAGACAGAGATGAATAAAATGACTGCAAACAAGCGCAACGTGAGAAGCCTCACCAATGGTAAAAAAAAAAGACACAAGATGTTGGTTTTGGATTTAAAATATTTATTAATGAAGGGGAAATATTTTTGTTTAGTGAATATATTTAGGATTTTATTTAAAATCATTTCCCTAGTTCATTAAGATATTTTTTTTTTTGAAATATTTTTTTGAGGAGTTATAATTACAACCCCTGTGCTCATATTAACTTACGTGGAGACAAATGTACCCCCATAAAAAAAAAATTTTTTAATTTAAACCCCAAAAATCATTTGAGAAATAGACTTTAATTTATTTAAATACTGTTTTTTATCTTTAATGTGGGGAAAATCTAACTACGTCCAGGGTAATGCAACTACGTCCGGCTAGAGTAATTAAGCCCCGGGTGATGTAACATGCCCGATAATGTAACTAGCCCAGGGCAGATGTAACTACGCCCAGGCAGATTAACTATGACGTCCAGGCAAAAGTAAAATGTATGTCTAGGCTAGATGTAACTATGTCCAGGCTAATGTAAATCATCCCGGCTAGATGTAACTCGCCCAGAGTAAAGTAACTACCCCCAGGTTAGCATAACTACACCAGGCTAGAGATGTATGTCCAACTAGATTAACTACGCCCGAGTAAATGTAAATACGCCCATTAGACTAACTACACCCAGGCGGATTATTTTGTTCCAGACAGATGTAACTACGCCCAAGTAAATGTAACTACGCCCGGGTTGACATAACTCACCCCGGCTAGATGTATGTATGCCAACTAGATGTAACACGCCCGGCTAAACATAACTACATCAAGGGGTAGACATAACAATCAAAACTTTTCCTGGGTACACTGAAAATGTTTTGGCAAATATTTTTGTTGGTAGAACAGGTTTTAAAAGACCGCCTAGTATGGGCCAGTAAGACCATAGAAAGGAGAAACATATACACCCCTACACTAAACACAACTTATTTATTTTTTTTTTTTTTTTTTATCACACCGGGCCCATTCCCACCAAGGCAGGGTGGGCCCCCAAAAGAAAAACTTTCACCATCATTCACTCCATCACTGTCTTGCCAGAAGGGTGCTTTACACTACAGTTTTAAACGCAACTTAAACCCCTCCTCAGAGTGAGGGTGTACTTCCCCCCCAGGACCCAAATCCGGCCTGCCCCGGTTTCCCTGACTCCCTTCATAAAATGTTACTTTTCTCACACTCCAACAGCAGTCAATATTAAAAAACCATTTGTCCCATTCACTCCTATCAAACACGCTCACCACCTGCTGGAAAAAGCCCAAGCCCCTCGCACACAAAACCTCCTTAACCCCCCCCCCCAAAACCCTTCCTAGGCCGCCCCACCCCCCCCTTTCCCCTTCCACTACAGACTGATACACTCTTGAATCATTCTGTTTTCGCCCCCTTCTCTTACATGTCCGAACCACCTCAACAAACCCTTTCCCACCCCCTGGGCAACAGTTTTGGGAATCCCGCACCCCCTCCTAACTTTTCCAAACTACGAATTCTCTGCATTATATTTACAAACCCCACATTGCCCTCAGACAGACATCTCCACTGCCTCCAGCCTTTTCCTGTGCAAAAATTCATACCACGCTTCACACCCCTATAAGAGCGTTGGTAAAAAAATTTCTCCAACTTTCCCCCCCCTTTGCCCCCAAGGACAAAGTTCTTTGTCTCCACAAATCCCCAAGTGCCCACTCACTCTTTTTCCCCCCTCAATTCTATGATTCACCCCAAACTTTCATAACCCCTCCCCGGGCACTCCATCCCCAAAAATCTAATATTCCCTCCTCCATTTCCTCTCCCCCAATCTGATTTAATCTTCATCACCTAAACTTTTTTTTTATCCTCAAACCTTACTCTTTCCTGTATTCACCTTTAATTTTTTTCTTTTGCACACCCTACCAAATTCATCCCCAATCTCTGCAACTTTTCCTTTAGAATCTCCCAAAGACAGTGTCATCGGCAAAGAGCAGCTTTACAACTCCCACTTTGTGTGTGATTCTTTATCTTTTTAACTCCCGCCCCTTTTCCAAGACCCTCCATTTACTTCTCTTTCAACCCCATCTATAAATTATTAAAAACCACGGGGACATACACATCCTTTCTAAGGCCTACTTTTACGGGGAAAAAATTTCCCTTTTTCCTACATACTCAACTTGAGCCTCACTATCCTCGTAAAACTCTTCCGCTTCAGTAACCACCTCCACCCCATACACTTGCAAAACTCCACATTGCCCCCCTATCCCCCCTGTCATACCCCTTTTCCAAAACCCAAAAATGCCACAAAGACCTTTTTAGCCTTATCTAAATACTGTTCACTTATATGTTTCACTGTAAACCGGTCCACACACCCCCCCTTTCCAAAACCTCCTTTTTTCATCTGTACCTATCTCCGTCTTACTCTTTTTCTTTAAATTAAAACTCTACCATACCTTTACCAGGTAACTAACAGACTTATCCCCTATAATTTTTGCACTCTCTTTATCCCCTTTCCCTTTTATAAAAAGGGAAACTATGCATGCTCTTGGCAATCCCAGGGACCTTACCCCCTTCCATAATTTTTAAATAATTGCACCAACCACTCCCAAAAAAATCCCCACCGCTTTTAACATTTTTTACTTTATCCCCTCAAAACCCGGCTGCCTTACCCCCCCTTTTATTTTTTCCTATGCCTCACGAACTTCCCCCACACTCACAAATGGTCTTCCTCACTCCCAAAATGTTTTTCCTCCTTGCCCTATACACGAAATCACAGTTCCCTATTTCATCAACATTTAACAATTCCTCAAAATATTTTTTCCATCTTCCCCAAAACTCTACCTCTCCATTTTAAAAAAACTCTCCCTCCTATTTTTAATGAAAAACCATTTGTTCTCTAGGGGTTTCTTAATTGTTTAAACTCACTCCCAAAAATTTTTTCCCTTTTTTTCACTATCTTTTTACACTATAAACACTTCACTATCAAGAATTACTACATCCAATCACAAAACACTTACACTGTTTTCAATAAAAAATTTCAGTTCCCTCCATTTAAAAAAAATTTACACCACATCAAATTTTAAAATAAAATTCGAAGAAACTATTTTTCAGAATATTGATATATTTAGTAAAATGGGGCATCATTTATTTTTTAAAATATGATTGAAATAATTAAGCTTAAGGGTTTAAATCAAATAGTTAATCAAAAAAAGCACTAAACATAAGCTTAAGTCATCAAAATGCTTGAAAAAGGCACTGAAAACCTGCTGCTTGTGAGCTGGGAGTGGGAATATTCTGGAAAAAAATTGGGTTGTTATTTTCAGCTTTTCGGGGCCAGGGTTCGTGATTTTGAAAAAGAGACACCTCAGAAAGAGGTTTTGA